ATACGCAATCAACATTTTACAATTTTTTCGTAATTACAAATAAATGAATGAATTGTACAATGTTTAAATAAATGTAAAAATATGTACAATTATTTACGGATCCCCATTAAATTCAAATAAATCACATGCTAGTTTATTTCTCCAATTTTGTATCCATGCCTGGTTGATTGCATCAACCTTATGTGCCACACTCAAAAATTCTATGTACTTGATGACGAATATGCCGCAATCACCCCTACAATTAAACAGTGTTGTATTAGCACATCGAAAATTAGTTAGAAACTAAAATGTAAATGACAGGAAGAAAATTACAAACACTTACGATATTTGTTGCCTCGTCGTCGTCGTGTTCCGCACGGTGGCCAATCTGTCTTGTACATTGATGTTCGCTCGTCTAGCCATCATGGGAACGATCACAGACAGCGACTCTAGATTTTGCTCGAGCTGGCCTTGTGTCAGGCATGAATGATCGGGGTCGTACACATACATCGTGGAGTCGGCGAATACGATTTCCACTGCAATGTAGTGATGATTCAGACATACTGGTACGTACATATGCGTACAGCCATCCCATGGCTTCCCACCGACACTCGGCCACATCCCTACGACCCATTCCATCATATATTCCGGCAACCCATTCCATCATATACTCCGGCACCGTGTACTCGCTACCCATAGCCTGGAACGACCGGTACTCAATGTCAACGGCACGGATGAACTCGGTGTTCAATATGAGTCTGCCAGGAATGTTGAACGATTTTGGATGTCTTTCAGCACGATCCCGTAGCAAATCCATGCTCAAATCGATGTGCTACATAAAGAAACACCAATAAAGAAAGGAGTTAATCTACGAATTTCATTCAAAAAAATGATTTCGAACGTACATAATAAATAACAATATTTTCATTTCACTTACATCGTCGGCGAGCCAAGCCCCCGAAGTGGTGATGTCGTGGAACCACTTGTAAGCATTTGAGATCGTCTTCTCAGCAATCGTGCGACTGGCCCTGAAAAAATAAGAACAGAATTTTTAATTATATGAAGTATACATGTGTCAGTGTCAGCGTATGCGTACTATAGTAATTACATAAAATACAAAACTGACCTAGGCTGCAGTGCTCTCCACTCTGTCTCAAAGGCTTTCCACTTGGCGTGGTCCACCTCCCTGAATAAATTCGGATGCGTCCCGTCGACGAACCTTCTCCTCTTCGCCTCCGCGGTAAAGGGAGAAAGAACGTACTGTGATGGCACCCTTGGCCTCTTGCCGACCACCCGCTCCTCATGTGCCTCGGGAATCTCCATCTCCCCAGCCATCGGGACGACCCCCTTCGCCCGCTGTCGGGACCACCTCCTCCGACACAAAGACCACGACCGACGAGTCTGGCGGGTCTGGCGTCTTCTCGGGTACCACCTCTACCTCCGGTACCCTATCCTCCTCCGGTGCCCCCTCGACATCCCCGGGTATCCCGTGCA